TCCTGCTTCCTATATATTTATTTCTAGCTTACTCACTAATAATTTATATATTGTGAGTGACAATACGTGGCATCTTGCAATCACAGGATGGAGGAAGGGTTTTTGGGCTTTACACAACTGATTTCAGACATGATGAAAGCTGACAGTCTCAACCAACTGATAGCTCAGTTCTTCCCACTCTGAAAAGGAAAAAAGTCAATATGGAGTAATATAAGAGCTGACTGACAAATGTTTTCTACACATAGCACTGCTCAAACATTTATAATCCAAATAATTTTAATGGGAAAATATTTTCCTTCTAGCATAGAAGAAATTTCAAATTATTCATAGCAATGATTGGATATTTGAGAAAATCTTGACAAAAGAAGTGTTTTGGCAGAGAAGCTTTTGTCTGCTACTTTGAAGTAAAGGGCAAAAGCAAACAACAAAAGATGTCCTCAGCAAAGTTAATGAACTGCTTTAAGATCAGCATGAATCAGATAAAGTATTAATTGCTGCTTTCAAATAGTAATATAACCACTAAAGATAGCTGTGTCTGCATATAGACAGATAGATATAAAACGTCCATAAAGTGACCAGCAGCAACTGTTAAAAGTAAATGTTCTTGTAATAACCTTGCCTTCTTCCCCTCTTCCTTTCCAGTGTTAGTCACATCCACTTGCAATCTCTAACAACACTGTGAATTCTTTTACAGAGACCACAGGTGAATCCCTGCTTAATTATCTTCCTTGGGATTAAGATATTACACAGTATCTTCCCATGGTTTTGGCCAGAACTAATGAACTCAAACCTATGATTAAAACAGCAGAAATTATGGAGTAATTACAGCAAAGCATATAGAGAACCATGAAAGCAAAGAAAAAAAAGTTCTCTCCAAAGGCTGACATAATTATTTAGACTCTTAGAATTTTTATCTTGGACATAAAATACAATATTTAAATTTATTTTTTTTTAACTTCTAAAACCAGTATCACTGTCAGACTTTGGTTGTTAACCCTTAGTAATAATATTATTATTTCTATTGCATCCAGCCAATAGGGAGAAAAGCACTCATAGCTTCACTTCATTTAGCTTTCTGAGAATTATACTGTGACTCTAACATCTGTATAATACACTTTCCCATATGACTCTGCATTACTATCCACATTTTGCAGAAAATAGTGTAAAAAAGCTAATAAATAACTTCTTAGTTTCTGGTTGAGATAATGGATTTCCCTTCTTTACAGAACTACTCTTCAAGCTACTTGACAACAGGAGCTATCTGCTGCCATGTGTATCTTGTAACACAAAAAGACCCTAACAGACCAAATTCATCTCAGCTTTTACAAACATTGTGGAAATGTGAAATGACTGTCAAAAACAAAAACTGAGGTCTCTTGGTTGCATTCAGAGGCAACAGAATGCTGATCCTCCACTGGAGAGCCAAGGAAGATGCAGCAGTAGCAGCTGCACTGCCTGTTCAGAAAACATTAACACTGCTCAACAACAGGTCTTACACAACCATCTCTGAAAGCCCCTCAGTGAATATAAGCACACAGAAGAGATCCAGAATGGAAACACTCCTCATTTTTTCACATGGGCAGGATGAAGACAGTAGCTCTTCATCTACTGCAATCCCTACTCTTAGTGTCTCTTGAGATCAGAAATGCCTTACTGTACAGCAAGACACAAGTTATTTTTAATGCAAACAAAAAGCATAAAGCTGTCAAAGAAGATGAGAAGCAAAATTCTGACAACTTGCCCAGTCCCTATTTTACAACTCAGATGGAAAGGTTTCCTTGCTAGAGCTGAATGAATAGGCCCAAGATCTTTCAAATATGAACTGCAGTACCATTCCTTACCTGTGAAATATTTAAAGCCTCACCAAGTTCTACGTTCAGATTCCAGCCCATTTAATTTCCAAGTTTTCATTCTGTTGTATTGAATACATCCTCACACCCTTGGGAATATGTATCTAAGTTATTAACTGAAAGCCACATTTATATTATTATGTGTTTTATGAAACTTATTTCCTGAAAATTATTTACTTTTTCTCTGGAAATGTAGGCTTCAGCTGCTTCTAGGCACAAGCTTCTAGGCACAAGATATTCAGCTATATTCCTATCACTGCACTTCATAGTTCATACAATCTTCTCGTGTCCTGAGATGACAAATAAGACCAACAAGCAGTCAACACTGGCTTACCTCCAGAAGTGATAAAAAAGCAAAGGAACATTTAAACCCAGCGTGAGCCACTCCTGAGCACACAGAAACATGATGCAGAAAAGACAATGGATAGAGTACTCCGGCAACACCAGCTAAAAAGACAGGAACAGAAATAACACGTCAGTGAAACACCTCTTTGATTTTAGTCACCTAAGCAGTTTTTCAGAAAATAACCCATCTCTGCAAATCTCCTGTGTGTCCCTGTCCCTGGACACACTTCAGTTGACAGGCAGCTTGGCTAGAAGCAGTAAGCACAAGACATAGTGCAGGTTTGTCCAGGTTCTAACCATGGCTATACTCCAGGGGCTTGTTGAGAGGCACAAGACAAATCATATACTCTATTAACTAGTGTTGCAGATTTCTGTCTACAAAATGTATATTATATTACTGCCTCCCTCACAGAAGCATTGTGAGACTAAATAAGTGCCTGTAGAAGAGCTCTTAAAGAAGACAGTTTCATTACTGTTGCATTCAGAAAGGAAATAATAAAGCTGTTACTGAAGCTTCACTTCTATATTGGAGGAGCCTGTTTTGAAAAAGCTGCTTCTACCATTTTGATATGTCATACACACCCTAAAGAGACTAACCATCTGCACAGCACAGGAAGGGCCTTCAGGCCTTCTCATGGGCATCTGCCTTAGACTGGAAGTTTCATAAATGCTGAAAACTAAGTGTTTACTAAAGGGCTGTTTCCATACCTGATGTGTAAATGCTGTCAATCTGCAAAAGCAGATTTGGTACAGTGTAGACATAGTAAAGACAATCCCTGCTCTGCTATTCAAACAGCTTTATTGAAAACATCAGCATCTAAATGCAAGGTAGCACGTTTACCTCCCAGCAGAAGCAGTTTTCATCCATATAACAGGCATGATGTAAAATTATTGCACTCTATCTTTAGGTATTCTGTTGCTTTTTGTAATTGCATAGAGACTTTATAGGATCTGATCCTGACTTAAAACACCCAATGAACATTCTACTAAATAAATGTAACAGTTACATTTGATTTAACCTCAAATTTCTTACTTTTTATTTAAATGCCAAATGAGAGCAAATACAGTCTATTAGCAAGTCAAATTTTGGCAATGTCTTGAGCACAGCTGGGGAACAGATGCATAAATTACATTAGCCCAAGAAGCTGAGAAGTACACTGCTCTCTGGAGTACATTACAAGCAACAGTTACTCATATACATTTTTACTGCATCTTCAGCCTTACTCTACTGTTACTTGTGATGTTCTGATACTGCAAGGCCATATGTTTACATATCCTCCAGAACTGGATTGGAAGACACTTAATTGTAAAGCAAGAGGTTGTCTATTACAGGCTAATACTTTGCTACTTTGATTATTGTATGGACAGTTAAAAGATGAGATTAACAGCAAAATACCATTAGTTACCCTGAAGTAGTTTTATACACAAATCTTTTCACCAGTAATAATATTATGAATAAATATATGTATCCCTTAAAAAAGATTTCCATTTCCATCAGGCATCACACTGGGGAAACTTACTTCCACCCTGGAGTAAAAGGGAGACCAAACTGTGACTAAGTCAGAAGTTTGAACTCTTCGCTCTAAGGCTTGGAATAGTTTTGTAACTTTTCCCCTTACGATCTACCCCTGCTTTGAACACCTGGGTAGGCACAGCAAGAAAATTATCTTTTTATTATCCTTAATGATTGCTAAAAATAATAGTTGCTATGTTCTAAGTTTTGAAAAGTGCTGAATTGAGAAACTTCTAAATTTGACTAAAAATAGCGCTGGCACAATGCACAATGTCTAAGTTTTCTCAATACAGCAAATTTGTTGCAAGAATCAGAGAAAATCATTATGTTCCTCATGTTTTTGAATGTAAACAATATGTCTGTCAACTGTGAATCACAGGTGTTAACTTCATACTCTTATAGGCAACCTGCAGAAAACAATTAAGCCAACACAGCTAGTGCAAGTGTATAACACGTCAATTTAAAATATTTCACTTGTTTTTCCCATATCCCCACCCCCCTTGTCAAGATACACTTTCTTTTTTTTTTTTTTTCTTTTTTTAACTTGTACAACCGGAGGACATCCCAGCTGTCCTTGAACAGCAGATTTCAGATTTATCTCATGCCTCTTTTGACTAACAAGAGATGCTGTACCAAAATTGTCTAAAAATAACTCATCCATAATTCATTACTTCCATGAACTAAAAATTGTATGTTAATACATTTTTAGCTAACTTCGAATTTTATCATTAGAGCATAAGAAGTTACTCATTCCTAATAAGAAATTATCTTGTCATAGCCACTCTGAAGCCCAGAAGAAAGCTGGCTTTCTCATCTAACAGCAGTTTAGCAGTATCTTTTAAATAAGTACTGAGTACTTATTTAACTGAGTACACAGCTTCATCTCTCCCTCATGCTCAGGGTCTAATGTACGTAAGAAAGTCCTACGTCACTTCAAACAAAAGAGAACTTAAATATGTTCAGTTTTATGAAAGATATTCTATTGACAGTCCAAGTCCTAACTGACAGAATCCATACAGCATGGCAAGCTTACATCCTACAAAATCTGTACATCTAATTAATTCTGTAGAAACAGCAATATCCTTTATCCCAGGGCCCGCATGCAAACTCTAGATGTTTGGTTTTTTTGAGGTAGCTGAGGACCTAATTATGTATGCATATGTATAGCAGGGGTGAGTAGCTCATATGATGATGTTAAGAGGGATCTATCTCATATTGTCTATATCTTGATTAGTATTTCTGTAGAGGAAGTACCACAGGTCTCTAAGCATAAAATACAAGATTTTATTCCAAACAGTCATCAATCAGACTACAGTAGCTTGAGTCTGACTCCAGACTGGGCTGGATTTGAACAGCTGCTGTAGAGATTAAGGACTGCATGCAGTTGTTAACTCAATGAACCATCAGACCCCTCAAAACCAGCAAACTTTTCCAACTTCAGTTAAAAGATTCAAATTATGCATGTTAATGAGGAAAGTAAGGTGTCTGAAAACAAGATTTCTATAATCAGATCCTAGAAAAGCTCAAACTTGAGAAGGAAGCACACAGGGGGTGGAAGGGTATCCTGGGAGGATTACAGAGAGGTTGTCCAAGCAGCAAGGGATCAGGTTAGGAGAGCCAAATCCCTGCTAGAATTAAATCTCACCAGGATGTTAAGAATAGTAAGAAAAGGTTCTTTAGGTATGCTGGGGAGAAAAGGACAGCCAAGGAAAATGTAGGCCCTCTCCTGAAGGAAACAGGTGAGGTAGCAACACAGGATATTGAGAAGGCTGAGGTCCTCAGTGACTTCTTTGCTTCAGTCTTCTCTGGCAAGTGCTCCAGCCTCAACACAATGGCAATGACAGGTGAAAACAGAGACTGGGAGAGTGAATTACCCCACTGTAGGAGTAGAGCAAGTTCATGACCATCTAAAGAACCTGAAGGTGCATAAATCTATTGAACCTGATGGGATTCACCCATGGGTCCTGAGGGACCTGGTGGATGCAGTTGCTAAGCCTCTGTCCATCATATCTGAGAGGTCATGGTGGTCTGGTGAGGTTTCTGCTGATTGGAAAAAAGGGAACATGGCCCCTGTTTTTAAAAAGGGGAAAAAGCAAGACCCAGGGAACTACAGGCCAGTCACTCTCACCTCTGTGCCTGGAAAGGTCATGGAGCAGATCCTCCTGGAAAGTCTGCTAAGGCACATGGAAAATAAAGAGGTGATTGGTGACAGTCAATATGGCTTCACTAAAGGCAAGTCATGCCTAACCAATCTGGTGACCTTCTACAACAAGGCTACAGAGATGGTGGATGGTGGCAGAGCAACTGACGTCATCTACCTGGGTTTGTGCAAGGCGTTTGACACTGTTGCACATGACATCCTGGTCTCCAAACTGACAAGGCATGGATTTGACAGATGGACCACTCAGTGGATAAGAAATTGGCTGGGTGGCCACACCCAGAGAGTGGTGGTCAATGGCTTAATGATTCTGTGAGATCAGCTGTGCAACTGTTCCTTTCTTGTTGCATACATGTCTTGTGAGTGTAAGCAAATGCTCTTCATATTTATTATAATGTGTTATTTGTAGTACCTGGCACAATAAGGTTTCATTCTTTACTTGAGTCTGGAAGCACTGATGTAAAAGAAACACTAATGAAAACATAATGGAAAAGGAGAGCCAAGACGTGCTGAAGGGAATCTCTGGCTGAAGCACAATAGGGCCTTTAAAAATCCAAGTATCCAACTAAGGAAATGAAAAAGACTGCAAAATTCAAGCAGTAACAAAACGTGAGGTAGCAAATTATCCACCTAATCACAACAAAAGCAGATTTGCTCCTGTATTATATTTTCTTCCAGAAAGAAGGCACGTAGAACATCCTGAAACCATCCTTTTGAATTTAATGAAGACATCTTTAAAATGTGAAGCTTTTTCATATGATGCCAACCATCTTCCTCCATGATGCAGTCCTCTCCCAGCAATGGCCAGACCCAAAGGGAAGAAAATTGTGATTTTTCTGTTACTAGCACAAGAGAAGTGTTTACAAAGGCACGTGCTGAATTGCCTAATCAAAATCCTGTATTTCTTCCCCTCATTACTCAGAATTTGACCTTTGTGGTTTCTCCTGAGTCTCACTGGGTGTTTCTATCCTAATTCAGACATATTCGGTCATAACCAAATGAGGAGTGAAGCAGTGACTTTCTCCCTGAATGGGTGAGCTCAGCCCAAAGAGTGGCAATCAGTGCAGAGTCCAGCCAGAGACCTGTAACTAGTGGAGTCCCTCAGGGACCAGTGCTGGGTTCAGTCCTGCTGGACATCTTTATCAGTGACCTTCATGATGGGACAGAGTGTCTTCTCAGCAAGTCTGCTGATGACATGAACCTGGGAGGGTTGGCTGGTTCACCTGAAGGCTGTGCAGCCATTCAGTGAGATCTGGACAGGCTGGAGAGCTGGGCAAAGAGGAACCTAATGAGATTAAACAAGAGCAAGTGCAGAGTCCTGCACCTGGGAAGGAACAACAAAATGCACCAGTACAGGTTAGGAGGTGATCTGCTAGAGAGCAGCTCTGTGGAGAAGGACCTTGGAGTCCTGGTAGACAAGTTCTCTATGGG